ATCTATCTATCTATCTATCTATCTATCTATCTATCTATCTATCTATCATCTACCTATCAATCTATCTATCTACCTATCTATCTCTATTTTTCTCTGTGTGTATATGTGTGTGTGTCTCTCTCTCCTCACTCACTCCCCCAGTCCCGTCCCTCCTCCCCCAGCCCCTAAACAACAGAAAACACCTTGATTACACCCAGGGAGACTATGTCATATTCCTGAATATAAATATACTTGACTCTCTGACTGGATTGGGAAAGAAGTTTGGACTAGGGCAAAGGGCACGATCTGAAATTTCTAGAGTCAAAATAGGACAAGCAGCCACCTCACCCAAAAGCTCCAAGCCCTGATGAGCAAGCCATGCAACTTCCCCTGAGCCTCAGGTTCCCGGTCTCTAATGTGAGGGGAGTGAGGGTGTTAACTCCACAGGTAAGCTGGGAACAAGACAGAGAGGTCGGGACACTCGTGACTTCTGCATGGCAGGGTTGCCTTCGTCATCACTTCTGTTGGCAAAACGGTCATTTCCCCTCGCCCCAGAACGCCAAAATCTGACTGAGCCGTCTCCTGCTCACGGATCTGACTCTGCGTGTTTCAGCAGGCCAGCCACAGTCCCAACAGCCACACTTTTTTTTCCCTTCCTTACAGGAGGAAGGAAAAGCAATGTCTCTGTCCTCAGGAGCCAGACTGAGGGCTCAGGTATTTCCTCATTTATCCACTACACACTTTTGAGGACCCACATTCTAGATGGGGAGACAGACAATCGACGAGAGGCTTGGTACATAAATAAGTTACATAGTAGGTTAAAGATCACACAGAGAAGAGGCATGAGGGAAGTAGAAACGGGCGGAGAGCGCCGGAGGCAGGTTGAACATTAAATGGATTGTCAATATGAGCCTCGCTGAGGGATGGGAGCTAGAAAGGATGACTTGAGGCAAGCCCACCCCAGGGGAAGAGACGACTGGGCGTATGCCTAGAAGGTCTGCAGGTGTCTCTGTCACCCAGACTTCATCCTTGCGTCTTAGTCTCAGATTCTGACCTGGGCATTTAATGGCACCCAGCATGGGTCCAAATCCCTTCCCAAGCTCTCCAGACACTATCTACAAATCCATCCTTCAGAGACACTTGGGCTTTTTAGGGAGACACCACCCCCCAAGCCAATTCTACTCTGGGAGCTCTGTTTATACCACTGCCCAGCTCGGCTCACTTCCCAATCAACCTGCAGGATCAACTTCCTCCAGGAATAGGGTCCTTCCCCGTCATTCCCAGACCATCACTGGCCCAAGTCCACAGCTGCCTCCTCCTTGGGTGCTGTAGGGCCAGGCCGTGCAGTTAATCACGCACAGTCCTTCACTCTCCACCGCTCGCCTTGCAGCCCCTGTTCTTAACCATTCCCCACTATTCCTCAGGCCACTGTGTTTTCTGACACTACCAGGAGCAAGCAGTGGGATTGCAGGCAGCCCTAGGAAATGGGCAGCAGCATAATCTGGTGGTCAGACAAGAACTGGGAATGGACTGCTTAGTGGGCAACTAAGCAATACATGCCAGGGGAGCAATAGCATCCCTTACACACACACACACACACACACACACACACACACACACCTCTCTCTTTCTCTCTCTCTCTCTTTCAAGAGGACCACACTCTCCCTTAGCACTGTCTCCCACCCTCCTTACTCACAAACCTCCATGCTCCAACCCTGCTTATACACAGCCTCACCTGCCTCCCCCACCACTCAAGTACGACTGTGGGAGCCAACTGCAGATACCCGGGGAGCCTTAACCCTGTGCCGGGTCGACCGTACTTTCCAACCATTGCCAATTATCAAAATTAGGTCCTTATGTAAACTCTCGTGAAGAGTTGCAGGAAACAAAACAGAGCAGTGGAGCCAGACTGCCTGAAGAGAACACAGAGCCCACTGGGATACACCAGCTTTCACCCCTCCCGCCCAGTGCAGCCCGCGGCTGTCTCTTAGCCGGAGCCAGATGGACCCACCAGGCACTGTACCAGGAGCAGGGAGGGTACAATGCTGCTGGGTCTGGGGCCTCTACCATGGAGGGTGACAACAAGGCCCTTGAAGGAAGTTAGTAGAACCAGAGTTGATGAACTAATGTGTTCGCCTGACTATCATCTGTCTGTCTGTGAGAGAGGCACACGTACGTGTAAGACAGAAATGCCGGATGCTGTGCAATTTAACTCCACAAGGCCATGGCCATAGTCATTTCACCAAGTGGCCATAAAACTAAAAGATAAAAAGGATAGCCCCAAATGACAAGGATTTTTCTGAGCAGGGAGTGGCGATAAGAGCTTTGGTTGTGACCTGAGTCGGGCTCACAGCAACCCAGGCAGGTGGGCAAACAGAGAGCAGACCCTGTGCCCCTCAGCTGCCCCATAAAATCAGGTCCTCAAGGCTCAGGTCAGGGCCGGGTCCCCATGACCAGCCCTGATCTCTATGGCAGGGAGTGGCCCTCAGCTCATGGTGGAGGGTTTCCTACCGCAATAGGAGGACTTCACCCTCAGTCCCAGTAACTAGAGAAGATGATCCCAGGCTTCAGTTACCCGGAGAGCCTCCAGACTTTGGGGATCTGCCTCACAGACAAGCAGAGGGAGAAGAGTTTGGATGGCTTCCTGGGCGACCCAGCATGGAATGTGGAAACCATAAACTGAATTCCAGGTCTCACTGTAGGGCCATGCTGACTTGGCCTCACTCCACTTCAACAGATTCGGTGATACCAGAGTCGCCAAAGGCCACTCTCGCAGCAATTTCATTATCAAGCCCAGAAAGAAAAAAAAATGCCCTTGACATCCTCAATTGCCTTGTTAGCAAAGAAAGATCAGTCTCAGGCACGGGGCCATCACAATGGCCAAGCCTGAGAGCTAAGCCACATCTGCGAGGGTCAGTCAGAACATTGGGCAGCTTTTCAATGGGTGTAAGCAATGGGGAAGAACAGCACAATCCCCCCCCAACCACGATATCTGCTTTCCAAAGACCGTTCAGAGGTTCACTGCGCTCTTCTGGGTAGGTGAGCCACACAGCCTGGCATCTTTTCAACCTCAGGCAACACCCATTCCCGGCTGGGAGTACCGGGGATCCCACTAAACTAGTAGCTACCGTCATAGAGCCAAACACAGGACGTTTTCTTCTTCCCATTTTTACTGACAGGAAGCCTCAGACTCCAGGGAGTATTAAGAGCTACTGGCGTGTATGTGCTCCTAGCAATGCCAGAACCAAAGACTTCACCCTGGCCCAACCAGGCACCCCTAACCCAGATGACCCAAAGGTCTCTTGAGGGCACCCAAGTCACGGAATGTGGCCGTGTCATTGGGGGATCCAATAGTTTCATCCAAAGAATTCTCCCTCTTAGTGTCCAGAGCTAGCCCATTGTGACCTGGGAGCTGGGGCGGGTATAGAAGTGGTCAAAATCAAGCAGAGTTGTGAAGAACCCTTAGGTACAACAGAGTATGCAGCCGAGAGACAGCTCAGACAGTCACCCTGTCTAGCTTGTCAATAGCAGGAAAGATGGTAAGAGGGCCAGCCAGAGCGTGAGTGACAAGTGACACGCTCTTAAGCTCCTGCATTTGTTCTCTCAAGGTCAGGCCTGTGAGCGGTGGCTGGCACCTTCTCAAGAGCCTGCTGATGTACAATCATCTTACCTGCTTCACAGACGAAGAAACTGCGGTTCAGAGAGGACCCTCACAGGTGCCCTTGCCCTGCTGACAAAGGCCAAAGGGCGGTTGAGACCACTGTGAGAGAGGGAGGCAGGAATCATGGGACCAGCTGGGGACAGGGAAGTCCTGGAGAGAAACCCAGCACTGTGTCCCTGCATAGCACGACAGGGCCACCCCTGGGACTTCTTTACTAGTCTCCCTCGGAGAGAACACATCAGAGCAGCAGCCAAAGCTGTCTGAGATCACAGCCTAGGTGGGGCCAAGAGTTAACCAGGGCAGTGGCTCTCAACCTTCGTAATGCTGTGACCCTTTAACACAGTTCCTCATGTTGTGGTCACCCCCAACCATAAACTTATTTTCACTGCTACTTCCTAACTGTATCTTTGCTACTATTACTAATCATAATGTAAATATCTGATAAGCAGGATATCTGAGAGGCGACCCACTGTGTAAAAGGGTCATTAGGACCCCAAAAGGAGTCGCGACCCACAGGTTGAAAACCGCTGTCCCAGAGGTTCCTGCCCCAGCTTCACGGGTCCTGGCAGCCTGCGGTGTCATGGCTGCTTTGCTTTGGTAACACTCTACCCACCAGAGGACTAGGGTTACCCGCTTTTCCTGCTTTAATTTTGCAAACATGAGCCTGTAATTAAATCTTGCTCCAATATAGGAATTTCCCACAATTCCACTAACTCAAGTGCATCTCAGAAAGGTACAGAGAGTGAAGCCAGAGCACCAACCATGGATGGTCATCAGCAGCATGGGGAGAGGGAGAACGGGCCATGCTGGAGCGGGATGTCTGAGGGGATGTCCAGCTGCTAGGAATGAAGGAACTTTGCGCTCTGAAGGAGCGGCATCAAGTCCCAGCTAGATGACAGAGTCACCGCTGCCTCTTGTGAGGGCCTCGTCCACGATTCCAGGTTACAGTTCATCACATTGGAGACATCAGGGCAGACACTCGAGTGACTCTTGCATCCCACCCATGGTTGGAAGCAAAAAGAGAATCAAGGTCCTGGCTTGCATGGTGCTTAAGCCCACCTAGGCTTCTTCCCTCTTTACTCAGGGCCGAACCCATGAAACGGTGCCACCCAAATTTCAGCGCAATCAGCCCAGACGTACCCACAGACCAACCTGATGTCGACAACCCCTCATAGAGTGTCCTTCTCTCCTGATTTTAGACTGTGTGGGGTTGATACTTAAAGCTGGCCATTGCACTGCCACATTCATATCTTCATAAACCAGGAACCATATCCTAGGGACAGGTCTTATCAAACCCATCTGTGTCTGAGCCAGCTCAGCCTCAGCCTGTGGCTAGTGTGGCTGGGAGGTAAAAGCCCGGGGAGGCTCACTGGGGCTAGCATCTGTAGCATGGGAGGTCGCTTGCTGGTTCCCGGCTGCTCAACCCCGAAATAATCACACAGAAACTGTATTAATTAAATCACAGCTTGACCCTTTAGCTCTAGCTTCTTATTGGCTAACTCTTAACCCATTTCTATTAATCTGTATATCACCACGAGGTCGTGGCCTACCAGCAAAGTTTCAGTAAGTCTATCTCCAGTGGCAGATCCCTGACTCTGCCCTTCTTTTTCCCAGCATTCAGTCTAGCTTTCCCTGCCTACCTAAATTCTGCCTTGCTATAGGTCCAAAGCAGTTTCTTTATTCATTAATGGTAACCACAGCACACAGAGGGGACTCCCACATCAAGCATCCTTTATACTTGGGGCTCCAAAATCACCAGGGTAGCGCCTCTGCTTAGGTGTGCGCCTCAGCTCCGTGTCCTTCTGGACCACGGATGACATAGAGGGGGACAGTGATAATGCCAATAGCCACGCGGGCAGAAGGAGCTGGCCCACCCCACCTGCAGCTGTTATCTCTGAAGAATAGATGTTTGGGGTAAAAATAAGGTACCAGCCCTTCTTTCTAAAACTCTAGGTTTGGGACTCATTTCTTGACATCTGAGGAGGAGCTCTCCAGGAGACTCCTACATAAAGCAAGACTTGGAACCCAGGCTCTTGTCCCTTTAAGACGCTTCCCTAGTGGGTGTGCATCAGGAGGCTACAAAGTGTTGCCTGTCACCTCTGGGTTTTTTTTAGGTGTGTGAACATCCAGAAGTCAGCATGGTTCTAATTTCTACCTGGCGGTTGGTATGAAGAATTTTAAACTGAGAAACGTGTCAGCTCCGGGTCTCTCTCCCTTTCTCCCCAGTGTCATGGCTTCTGGAGGTCTGCTCTCTCTGGGGGTGTGAAACCTCGGCAGGTACCGTCCATGATCCCTGTTTCAGTCAGAGGACCCTATGCCTGTAGCTCATGCCCATGTCAAGGAGCCGAGCCATTGATATTTCTAGAAGACCTGTTCTAATAACCCCCAAGCAAATCTCTACCTCCTAAGGCTCCCCCCCCACCCCGCACTGCCCAGGGAGAACCTGGCTAGTGGCTGATGTGGCCCTCCTCACTGCCCAGGGGCACCTTCACTGCGTTGTACCTCCTGGCCACCCATTATGAGTGGGAAAACCATTCCTCTCTACCTTCCAGACAGCAGAAGAACCCAACCACATGGACAGTCTGACTCTAGCTTTTGGCCTCATCATCCACTTCATGACTTCTAACCAACTGCCCATTTTTACATGCCTTCCTGTCTGTGAATGAAGAGTTATTACAGGAACCTCCAAATGAAATAGAAGTCAGCAAGTGAACGCTTGTTGAATCCTGGCTGACCTCAAACTCACAGAGATCCACCTACCTCTGCCTCCCTTGCACCGGGATTAAAGTGTGCACCACTGTGTCTGGCTCAGACTTACACCTTGAGGGGCTCAGAAAACAGAATTTTTGTGTAAAATAACAGAAAACATTCAAATAAATGGGATTTGCTTGTAGTTCTACCAATTTCAAAATTGAGACCCCAATTTTGTTTTTTCGAAAACACTTAATCTAAGTGCACCTATTCTGGACAAGCCCACGTGAATAAGGTGTTCTAGCCCTTTCCAGTGCCCACAAGTCCAGACTAAGGTCCCCAAAAAGACAGAGAAGGACCTCACAGCTGGAGCAGAGAGGCACTTGGGAGAGGCCTTGGGACCGGGATCATTTGACCTGGAAGTGGGAAGGTAGAGATTTTTCCCAGGTAGCCTTTGCCCTCCGCCTTGGACACTGACGTTGTGCCCTGTGGTTTCCCTGAGACTTCCCAGAACACTCACTAACTAACTGTGATGACTCACAGGCATCTTGGTGGAGGGGGGGTGTCACACATCCTCTTCCTGAGCCCCATGAATCCTTCACTCATGCTAGTTGTGGAGAGGTGACAAGCCACCTGGATTCTCCGAGGCTCAGCAAGCCAAGTTACCCAGGACCCCGACTATCTCTCAGAGGCTAAGGGGTGAAGACCACAAACGTGTCAGCATGGCAGACCCCACCTCATGGCCATGGTTTTCTGGAAGAAAAGAACAAGACTCACATCTCAACACAGCTCATGGTCCAGAAGACCAAGACTTTCTTATCAGGACCACCGTCCTGCAAATAATGACACGGAGACTTCTTATTAATTATGAAACCTTGACCTTTAGCTTAGGCTTACCCCCAACTAGGTCTTATAACTTAAATTAATCTGCTTCTATTGATCTACAGTCTACTATGTGGCTTGTTCATCTCTTCTTTATTTCTGGACGACCAACTTGTTCCGCATCTCCTGCCATCTCTCCGCCTGTCTTCTTCCCAGAGTTCTCTCTCTCTCCCCAGAAATCCCACCTAATCTCTCCTGCCTTGCTATTGGCCGTTCAACTCCTTAGTAAACCAATCATAGTGACACATCTTCACACCATGTAAAGAAACAGTCCACATCAGGCAATGCTCTCCCAGACACCAGCAATCCTTGGAAGCTATCATTTCTTCCACGGCATATGTCACAGGCGGAAAGTGGGCTAGGAGAGTTAGGACACAGCCCCCTACCCAGATCCCATGGGAAAGGGCACTAAATTTCCCTGCAACCCAGACCACAAGGATATCCTGAGGACTCCATTGAGGTGGCTGGAAGCAGGACTAAGAGTGTGGCCAGGAGTTCTGAGGGGTGCCCAAGGACCTCCAAGTACATGCACCTCGGATGGAAGTGGCATCCCTTAGGCATAGACACAGAGCGAGGATGACAGACACTTGTGTGAAGATACAAAATGGTTAGGAAGCCTGAGACCAGGACAGGGACTCTGCCGTCTCAGGGTATGTGGGGAAGGGATAGGATTGGAGAATGGTGCCCTTTGCCCCCTGCCTCACAGAGAAATGAAAGCCATTCATTGAAGGAGTGGGCCCTGGGGACACTGCAGCTCAGCATCTCACAGGGAGGGACTTCTACCCCAGAGCCCAGCTGCTCCCATCATAAAGGCCTTTAAGAATGGCTTCAAATCACAGAAGGTCACCCTCAAACAGAGGACAGCTCCTTAAAAGTCCTCAGCTGTCACTACCTGTAGGGAAAGGACCATCAGTTGACATTTTAAACAGAAACCACAAGCTGTCAAACAGGTACTGGTAGTCACCTGAATTCAGAAAATTCCCTGAGACAGAGACAGGGCCAATATGGGAGCCACCCTGCACTTCCTATCCAGAACCCTGCATCTTCCTCACAGCTTCTGGGGGCTCCAAAAGTCAGGGCAGCTGTGGGGGTTCACACACGAATGGGAGGCACAGGCAAACTTCATGATGTAGCTACTCTTTCCCGCTGTCCAACCTCTGTGAGCCGTCGTTTTCCCACTAGAGAAGCACAAATCTTCCCCGCCTCACCAGAGACTGGTTCCCTCCCCTCAGCTCACGCCCTCATTTAAAATGAAGCCAAATGCTTTTCCTAACCAGCCTCACTAGTTTCCTGTCCTGGCAGCTGCCAAAACTCAGGCCGTGTGGGACTTCCTGTCACTTTTCTTGTGGGCCACATACCAACGGGGTAGGCACAGAGTCAGGTCAACTCCAGGGACCCCGCACCAGTCCGGGCCAGCCACGGTAGCACAAATAGTTTAATTATTAATTCTTTCCCCATGGCAGCCAGACTCCCACACAGACTCGTGAGATCCTAACCCCTTCATCTCATTCAACATAACTCGGCCGCCCACAGGGTGAGTGGACCAGCGTGCTTGGGTTCTGAATCACAACTTCATGTACTTTTTCGATCCTTCTGGGCCTTCCTTGTCAGGAAAATCATGCTTGCTTTGTCTGTCGATGATTCCCTTTGGAGGCCATGTTCATACTTCAATGTCTCTGATCGCTCTTCCTCCTCCAGCCCCCTCCTCCCTCTGTCACCCTTGAGTCACTGGGGCCTCCTCTGTATCGTGACCCTGAACAGCAGTGTTGAGCTCCCAACCCCTGAACGTCTCTAAAACACTCGCCTCCCTTGAGTGCTTAAGGAAACTGATGATTCTCCCCACTCCTCTGGGTACCACTGTGTTGCAGGAATGACCATGTCCTTCATCCTCACGTGTCCCTTGATGAGCAAACACCTTAAACCCCTCCTGTACCTTTGCTGTTTTATTCCCTATCATGCAAGTGACATCAAAGTTCAAGTCTCTCGTTGTCTTTAACACCAGTGGCCTCTGGCTCCAGTATCTGCCCCATTCTGGTCGTTCTGAAGGTCCCAGCAAGTAGAAGGTGCGTTACCCCTACCCCCACCTCCCTGATCTGCCAAGCCCACTTTTCCGGCTCAGCCTTAGCTGTGAGAGCCACCCCTCCCTCCTGAAGATCCCCCTTGGCCCCATGATCTCCTTCCAAGCCCAGAGAGTCTACTACATTCCCTACATGGCCCTTCAGCTGGATGGACACAGCATCTTCCCGTCGTCTGCAGCATTCCTTACACAGGAAAGGCAAGCCTGGGCCTCTGTGGGTCTGTTCCCTTGGCTGCCGTAAGTGGGGCTGAAACAACAGGAACCGTTAGACTTCTTCACGTCTCTGAGCTCAAACTGCGAGGCTGGGATGTCCTGGGGCTGTGCTTGCTCTGAAAGCTCAGGAGAGGGCCCTTCCTTACCCTTTCTCATCTCTAAGTGGGCCAGCACTCCTTGGCTTGTCGATACGACATTTCAAACTCTGTAACCATCTTTGTGTGGTATGATCTGTGTGTGTCCATGTCCCTCCTTCCTATAACGATACTAGTCACTAGATTATGGCCCAGGCATACGATCTCATCCTATCTTGATTATATATATATCCCTCTGTATCTGAATAAAGCCATGTTTTCAAAGACAGAAGATTAAGACTTGAGTGTGGCCACTGGAGGAATATGATTGCACCATGTCTCCAGCTGTGCGCCTTGGTTTAGGTTCTCAGCAGCTGTGCGCCTTGGACACACAGCTGGATCCACCA